AGTCATACAATAATCTTCGTAGAGTCATTTTAAAGGGCAACTTTCTACTTTCACTTTTGTAAGTTGATTTTCCTCCAAATCAATATTTATTTTATTAACTATTTATATTTTAAGCAATAAAATATTATAATTAAAATTTAGCAATGAAAGAAGGCCCGATATTTATAATTGATTCTTATACGCCATTGAAAAAGTGGGGATAGAGGTGGAGTTTACTATTACAGAGGTCGGTCGGTCCCGACAAGTTACTTTTTTGGAGGTTCGACTGTATTTTGTACATACGAGCTACAGAACTTTTATATCAATGAAATGTTTACGTCAGGTGACAGCTGTACGACACAAAAAAGGTAATTTTTTGTCGTTTTTATTATAAATTCGTAGTTCGCCCCTTTACATTTTATGTCTATTTCAATCCTGTAAAAGCAATTTCAATTCCGTTCAGTATTTTCGAAGTTATCGTTACAACTGCAATGTGTTGGTAATTCCGACCTTCCAGCATCGCCTTAATGCTTTTATGCACAAAATAATGAAATGAATCGATTGGATTAATGAAAATACTCAGTTGCTTTTAAAAAAATATGCAATTTGCAATATAGAACTACATATTTTTTAAAAGCAACTGAGTGTTTTCTTTATTCCAATCGATTTATCTCATTATTTTGTGCATAAAAGTATTAGAATATAATTATCAAGAAATCGATAGTTTATGAGATGTTTTGTATTTCATATTTTTCGAAATGTGATATAATAAAATATAAAATCGAAATGTGATATAATAAAATATAAAATATTTAAGTATCAGGAAAGACCGAATGTTAACAAACAATTGAGATCATAAAATGCCTACGCGGTACAAAGCGGATCTTGGTGCTTCTATGTAATATTAGTGTGAATCTTACAATTTTCGGTTCATACAGGGTGTCCAGTAATAACCGTATTAAATTTTGTGGACTGGTAGAGCAGATTGAATTGAACAGAGAAGTCCTCTATCATTTTGCAAAATTCGCAATCGTTAACGAGATATTAATTTTTAAAGATTGGCAAATAAACGCGTATCCGTCCGGCCCACCGCTGATATTTAGTTTTATCTAAAATAACTTATAACTTTTATTTAAAACATTTTTCCTCGTCTTTTATACTTCTCGAGATATTTCGATGTAAAAGTTAAAATGTATACATAATTTAAGATAACTTGCAGATTCTCAAGCCTTGATGAGAACGAATAAAGGCTTAGGTAACATCAATATTTTTATAAAAGCAAAGAGAAATTCACAAATATGGTTCGATAAAGTAATGAAATCAATCGTTGCTTTTTTCTGTTTAAAATAGAAAAAATATTTCCCGGATACTATAGGACAATTTTAACTACGATTTTCTGATTCAGCAAGTAAAATTCAGTTAGAAAAAAAGATAAACTTAACGTTCTCTACGTACTTCCCAATCGCCTGAAATGAACTTCTTTTTACATATACACTCGCAAGTTTTTACATTTGTTACATTTATAATTTTCATATAATTTACTTGTATTTTACTATGTTAATATCCGTTTAGAAAGAACTTATCTATACGCATGAAAGATGAAAATAATGAGAAAATACAGCTATTTATTACATGATCAATCTTCTATTGTTACGGCATTTTTTATACATTAAAGAAGATCCAAAAGTAGGATCAAAATGTTTATAATAATTATTAAAGTTATTGTTCATAATACGTGTTTTTATATCACACTTTCATCCGCGACGGCTCGTATTGACAATTTTAAATCATATTTGATTTTATCTCGGAGCCATTAACTCGTTTTAATTATATAAATAAGATTTAGTTTTCTTACTTTCACGTTAGCAAGTTTATGTTGTCTGTTCCAAAATTTACATTTTCTTTTTGAAGTTCCAAAATTACGACTTCCACCATACTCGGCTCCTGGTCCCGTTATAATACAATCTATTATACAATTTTATATAATTTTGATAAAGTATTTGTTAACTTATTTATGAAAAATTTTTGTAAACAAAATTATTAACTTATCCAAATCTATCTTTAAGAAAAATTGTATCAATGTAGATTTTATGACATACAATGTTATATCTTTCAACATGAATCTGATAGGATTACTATTTTTAAAATTTTTTAAATTTTTTTGTAAAAAAAGATGCAAAAAATCTTAAAATATAGTTTTTAATCTTAGAATTATATTATTAGATGAGCATTATAAAATTTTAGTCTAGAAAGACATTTATCATTAAAATCGTAAATCTGAAATTAATAATTTTACTTGACTTTGTATTAATTTTATATAAATTATATATAAATATAATACATAATTAACAACTAATTTTAATTATGTATAGTAAATTTAATTATACAGTAAATTAATAGAAATATTATATTCAGAATATATTATACTTATTGTTAGAAGCTGTAAGACATATCTATGATATACTTTCGGCAATTCATATAATGACTCAATTTTATGCGTTTTTAACTCTATGGAGTTAATTTTGCGATTATTGCGTGTTCATAATATTTGTGTAATTATTATTTCGCGAGTTAGGCCTCTTTATCAGGGATGAAGGAGAGGACTTTACGGAAAGTATGGAGCTTTCTATACCCAGAGCTCTTGTGGGTGTGAAATTATTAATTACAAAGAATTTAAGATATTTAAAAAAAATAGTTTTAACAAATTTTAAGAAATTTTGAGTAATTTGACAAAAACTGTGTTTAATTTATATACGGCCCAAAATCTAGGAGTTATGGAAGGATTTTTGTGCTTTTATCATGAACAGGTTCATTATTGAAACGCAAAAGAGAGACATACTGGACTTAAAATTTCTAAACGTCCAATTGCAGAGATCCAGAAGCTAAACTCAACTGCAGCCAAAAGTGCTTCAACTAGGAATTAAAGACAAACGCTGTTGAAAATTTCAATTATTTATTACATTAATGAACATCGCGCCGATAACCTTGACCTTGATGTATGTTATAAAAGAATACTGATTAACTTTTTCTGATAACTTAATCAGCGATTTTATACAGTTTTCACGATATAAATAGTAAAAGATTAAATTTTATTATTTTATTTTATTGGATAATTATTTAATATAGGGGATTCACTTTCAATAACTGGCACCTTAACATGTATTCAACAAAGTAATGAACTTGAGTAACCTTGAAAAGGTTTTAGCCGTCACTCGTTATTCGTTAAAATAAAATGTTAATAAATAAAATCGATAATATAAAAGTGTGTTTAACTTTGGATTGGAATCTCACTTCTCGTGGAAAACTGTAAACTTCCCATAGAAAGTTGTAAAGTGTATGCGCGCGTGAACACAGTTGGTTCTACCTTCTATACAGGAGGATCCACCCGGTAAGTATACCGAATAGAATACTACGACGACTTTGACACTGACATATATTGTCAAGATTATGACTCTATATAATAAGTGATCTTTAGAAGATTTCAATCATCATTCGTTGTTCGTATTAAAAAGTTATGAACAAAAAAAACATGAGAAAATTGAAAACCTGTGAGGAATAGTACAATATAGTCTTCGTTTCGCCTCGTAATACAGTGGGCCAGGGAACTCGAAAAAGTGGTCCAAATTCAACATTTCATTGGACTATTCTGAAATTTGGTATTTAAAAATTTTCGATGTCGCTAATAACGAATCTGACACCAAAAATTCAAAATTCAAAATGACTCATTCGCGCGCCAGATACTCCGCGCAGGCCCCGTGATCATGTCCAAACGTCCGAGCCCTATAAGTTCCTTTATGAGATGAAAAAAGAAGAATGATAGGATTTAAAGAATTCTTCTCTGGATTAAAAAACACAACTCAAACGATAAAATCAGTACGTACACGCGTAAAATCATAACCAATCCGAGCAATTGAAACTTAATTGCATTGACGCGTGGAAAATTACGGTATTTGCAAAATATCACTTAAAAAATTCAAAATAGACACTACAATGAAAAACCTTCAATTTTTTATTAGAAGGTGAAGTTTCGCGAAGTTGAGAATTTCAACTTATACAAAACTGAAAAGAATAAAAATGGTATCACAATACTCAAGTTACAATAATAATGTCCTCGTTGTTACTTTTTTTCAATTCAAATACTAATATTATTGATATTACATGGAAGAAAAACTTCAAAAATTATAAGCTCAATTTCTTAACAATTATAATTATGTTAGAACTCGAATAACATTTATATTTTCATGATGCTCTTATAAGAACAGATATCCACGATATCCACCGATTTATAAAAAAATTTCTCCACAGTTACTTTAACACTATTTTAAGATACCGTGATAATGAAGTACGAATTTACATGTTGGTTTTTGGCCACTTTTTCGCCCTGATGGCACAGATTGGTTTCTGTAACGCTGCAGGAACATAACATGAAATAGTGAAATTATCACAGTTACGTTGCGTAATGTTTCTGAAACATCTCTGTAAGATTGCAGCAACGTCAAAATGTCCGC